ACTTTCTTTTCCTTATACCATTTCAGACTAGTGTGGGAGACTCTCCTGTTTCCTCCAGGGATAATGAGGGTAGAGATAAGTTGTTACCCATGTTTCCCTGAAAAAATAAAGACCCTCCCCGTTAAAAAAGCCCTAAAGGGCAGGATTGTTTCTAAGCATGTTGCGACAATAGGAAGCCCCACCCAATAGAAATCTAGTGATGGGGCGTGGCTTGCACAGCGCGGTCTGCACAAAAACCCGTGCGTCTGTCGTGGAGCGATAAGAACACGAGCAGGGCCTTTCTCATCCGCCCGTGAGAAGGCTCTAGTGGCTTTCCAACAGGAGAGGTCGGGGCCGGTGGCTCTAAAGGAAAGAGTCGCAAAGGCTTTCAGGATGGGATTCGGGGTCGGAGGTTGAGGATTGATTTCCAGGAAAGAAGGACGGAATCCACTGTATCTGAATAAATGGCAGATGGTGGTTACCATAACTTTAAAAAAAAAAAATTAGCACATGGCTGAAAAAAAATAAGCCCTGGGGTGTCTCTTGAGGAAAAAAATAAATAGAAGACCTGTCTTGTTTTCGTGAAAACGAAGGCACGTAAATTTATGGCAAGTAATTATGATTCCTTCTGTGCTTTTCGGTGTTGTGTGTTGTGTGTGTGAACCATCAGCAACTCTCTCGCATCCCAAAAGGCAGACTCTGGTCAAAGTCCCTGTGCCTTACAAGACCGAGAAAAATTGGCGAAGCCCGTGGTATGGAAACAGGCGGCAGTTGTGTTCCGTGGCTTAAGCTTCGGTCTTGCTCGTTGAGCGCACCTTCCGTTTGACGGGCATGTTTGTGTTGGTCAGGACCCCGAAACATGCGAACCGCCTTGGCCAGAGGGAAGGCGTTGAAGTAACCAGAACCCCTGGCAAAGCCGCCCCGCTTTTGCCGCCGAGCGCGCAAGCTTCCTTCACGAGGCAACTCCTTCAGATCAGGTGTGCTCCGGCACGCCAGGGGAAACGCCACGGTTCGTCCCCACACTTTGGCTTGCCCACGATTGGTTCCGGTGGTGAAGACCACAGAGAAGCAGTAAGGAAATAAACTGAACCGGTCACCTTTCCTTGGATTTAACGTAAGAGAACGTTGCGTGTACGGCAAGAACGCAAAGTGTGATTGATTGGGAACTTCGGCAAGACTGGACTTCCATTGTCTTGGGCATGTCGCTTCTCTGCTTTTGAATGTTTGGAGTGGATTACGAGGTGGAAAAGCCTAAGTTTCACCACGGCTTTCTGGGTGGGTTTGCGGTTCAGGGCTGACAAAATGCCCCAAAAAGACGTCCCACCTCTTAATGACTGGAACTCTGACTGTTGACCTTCGTGGAAAAGGAACTCGGAATGTGGATAACATGGAACCCATCTTTTGAAGATGAGGAAGAAGATTTCTGGATGGACCATCTTGCTTAATCCAGATGGTTTTTTTCAAAGATTTATTTTTAATGCCGATCTTCTAAAGACTGGAGCTGGAGGGTTTATAGATGTGAGAAAGGAACCACGTGAGCAAGGAATGAGATTTGACATTGCCAGGAGAGTCAGAACCAAGGGAATTGGCCCGGGGAAACCTCTAAATAAATGGGATAGATGGCAGATAAGATGAGGATTGGGTGGGATGGATGATAGATAAGGAAAGATAAGAATTGATACATGGATGGAATGGATGGATGGGATGATGGTGGAGGGATGGGATGGATGGAATGATGGGATGGTGGGATGGATAGATGGAACTGGGATGGATGGGCTTGTATAATGGGATGGAATGGATGGATGGATAGATAGGGAGTAGGAATGAGATTTTAATGGATTGGATGGATAGGAAGGGAATGTTGGATGGGATGGACTAGATGGATGAATGGATAGATGGGAACTCTATGGATGAGGATGGATGGATGTGGATAAGATTGGATAGATGGATGGAACTGATGGATGGGGTGGGGAATGGGATGGATTGGAATAGTGGGATGGATGGATAGATACATAAATTGGATGGATTGGACTTAGAATGGGGATGGGTGGATGGAATAGATAGGAGATAAGATGAGATAATGGATGGGATGGATGGAACTAGATGGGATTTGGTGGCCATTGGATGATAGATTTTGGATGGAATGGATGGATAGATAGATGGATGATGGATAAATTGGTGGATGGGATGGAATGATGATGGATGGATAGATGGATGATGAGTATATGATGGGAACTTGTGGGATGGGATTGGATCGGTGGATGGGGATTGGATGATTCCAAATAGAGAATGGATAAGGATTGAATGGGAATGAAATAGATGGTGGGTTGGGGATAGATTGATGATATATAGGATAGAACAGATGGATAAGATTAAGAGTTTCTTCATTGGTTAAGCAGACTGTCTTCCCAAACTTGGTCTGGTGGGAACATTGGGGGCTGGAATTATTTCTCTTTGTGGTGGGGATTTCCTGTACACTTAAGCAAATTTTAATTCATTTCCGTGTTCAGCCCAAACCCGGACCAACCGGTGAACCCCACCTGTCTGTTCACCTTCCCGAGTTATAAAAATCAGACTGTTTCCCAAGACCATTTGCCCTGGCGTCCTTTGTGGAGGGGCAAGAATCACTTTCTGTTGGGAACCCAGGCCTCTAAGCAAAAAGGCTCAGTCTTTCTTCCTCTTGTTTCTTTCTTCTCCCACCAGCATTGGGAGGCAGGGCAACGGTAACCGGGCCCTGCAGGTGGGAACGGGTGCCTCGGTCTGGGCTGCCTGAGACGGAAAAACCACAATTTGGCAAAAAATCCTGCAGCCAGCGAGCTATGGACCGGCTTTAGGTTGAGGGTAAACCACACCCAATAACCGGTGTTCTAAGGCAGTTTGGAAATCCGTGATCAAAGAAAACAGGTCTTCTCATGGGAAATTTATCTGTGTCCCTTCTCTTGAATCTTGCATTCGTGCTGGGCCACGTGAAATTCCCTCTTAAATTTGTCCCATTTTTGGGTTTTTTTCTATGCATGGAGTTTTTTTCTTTTAAAAATTCAAGAGGGTTCCCTAGGGAACCACCCTCTTTCTTCTCTTGGACCTGTCCATTTTCTTCTTGTCCGTTTTATTCAGATGTTCTTCCGGAAAGATTATTCTTCTCTAAGTGGTCACCCACCCATCTCAAAAAACCCCAAAAGTTGATTAAACCGCTGGCCCCTCTTTTACGGGGGCAAGTCCAGGGCAGTGGTTTCAAAGAAGGTCCTTCCTTGCAAAAACAGGCGTGCCCCTGGGGTCCAAGTTCCACCCTCGGGCCTCGGGAACAGTTGTAGATGACTTCAAGCATATGGGTTTAGTCCCATGGCTTGTATTAGTTTTATTGCAGCCTCATGACCAAAAAAAACCAGCATCAGCTGTTTGGGCAAAAAGTTCATCGGGTTGGAAAAACCTCCCCATGGCCTCTTGCCAGGGCAAGTCCACACGGTGACCGAATTTCCTCCAGGAATGTGTTTCAAAACAAACACACATGTGAAATGGCTACGAACCAGAGAAGGCTTTTGGAGATTCCAAAGCACCCGGGGTTGGACGGGCTGTCAACATAAGGCACACTGGCATGGCCGCGACCAAAAACCTTAGACCAAAGTAATGCCCAAACCACCGCTGGTTTGCATTATGGTTTTAGCTTAGGCAGTTGGTGGGGACTCCCTTCTTTTGGAGACCATCTCAACACCAAGCCACAGGAGGAAAAACTGCAAGTTCGGTCTTTGCAAGAAAGAGCCATCTCAGGCGCCCCAAGGGGTCAGGTCTTTCTCACACTCAAAACCAAACTGTTCCCATCTCTTTTCAGGGACTTAGAGACGCCTGCTTGGCCCACGGCTGTTGAGGTTTGTATGGGAAACAGTCATCGTTCTTCCTTTTACCAATGTTCCCTTGCCTTCGGAGCTCGAATTTAGGATCCCACCTCCACTGGCTTTGTCCAGAGTTGTACACACACTCACGTTACCTGCATTTCTATTTTTTTTTTTTTTTGAAGACAGAGTCTTCGCTTGTTGCCCAGGCTAGATAAGTTGCGTGCATCAGGCCTTGTCACAGGCAACCTCCAACTCCTGGGCTCAAGCGATCTCTCCCTCATGCCTCCCAATTAGGCTGGACTACAGGGCCATGTTGCCACATGCGCTAATTTTTTCTATATATATTAGGTTGCAAATTTCAATTTCTATTTTTAGTGAGACAGGGTCTCGCTTCTTGCTCAGGCTGTTTCACTCCTTGGGCCCTTGGAGCGAGTCCGCCGCTCGCTTCCAGAGTGGCGGGATTACAAGGCGTGAGGCCCCCACTGCCCGCCTTGCATTTCTATTTTTATCCTGAGACACAGGAGCAATGTCTTTTACGGCACCCGAAATAGCTGAATGTTCCGTGGGCAGTGGGACTGTTGGTTGTGCCGCCATGCGACCCGAACTGTAAGACACTGTTAGAATATCAGTAGCTGCTTTATTATATTTATAGGTGAGTGACATTCTGTAAGGTATTTAACAGCAGAACCATCTAGGGAAGCAAGCTCGTAAGACAAATGTTCCGAAAAACCCTTCAACCTTTAATCAGTCAACCACAGCCATCAGTCACGCGGCTGTGTTCATGAGTCTTCACAGGGGGTGGAAAGTGTCGTTCTATATAGTAATCAACATACTCCATCGGATCTGGGCGCGGTGGCTTCACACCTGGTATAATCCCCAGCACTCTGGGATGCCAAGGCGAGGAATCATTTTGGTGAGTCGGTCATTAGCCGGCAACATTAGGAGACACCATTCTGTACAACAAATAGAAAATTAGCAGGCTGTGGCTGACACGCCTGAGTCCCAGTACGTCGGGAGGCTGAGGCAGGAGGTGCTTGAGCCCAGGAGTCTGGAGGTTGGGCTGCGAAGAGCTGAGGCACGGCACTCCTCTAGCCCGGGCAACAGAGTGAGACTCTGTCTCTAAAAAGGAAAGGAAAAAATGCATGCATCACCTTTTCTGTTTCGTATTTTGCTGTTTTTGTGCGTTTCGTTTCCATTCCAGCATCCAAAACGATCGAGAGGTTACCTGCATAACACAGGAGTGTCCTCCACACGTGTTTTTTTTGCTTAGCTGTTTTACTTTCCGTTTCAGGAAAGTGGCACCAGGGCGTGAGCTGTGCCTCCCGGGGTGATCACTGCCACCACCCGCTGCACCACGGGTTCGACTACTTCTACGGCATGCCCTTCACGCTCATAGACGACTGTGACCCCGACGGCCCGCCCCACCTGGACGCCGCCCTGCGGGCCAAGCTGGGGCGCTACACCCAGGTCATGGCCTTGGGGGTGCTGACCCTGGCCGCCGCCAACACCTGCAGGCTCATCTCCGTCCCCCGCAAAGCGGTGGCGGGAGCCGCCGGGCTCGTGCTGCTGTTCTTCCTGTCGTGGTACGCCAGCTTCGGCTTTGTGCGGCGCTGGAATTGCATCCTGATGAGGAACCACGACGTGACCGAGCAGCCCATGGTTCTAGAAAGGGCGGCGGGTCTCCTGCTAAAGGAAGCTGTCTCCTACATCCAAAGGTAACCGTGAAATCACATTCTCAAGAGGAGGTGAGGTCTCAGAGCATCTCAGAGCGTCTCGGAATCTTGGGCATCCCGCACGCCGCCCCTAGGGGGAGATGAGTTTGCAGAAATCCCACATTTTCCTAGGGGAGGCTTTCCCACACTAGCGTCTCCGCTATTGATGTCGTGTCACGGCTCACACAGCCTCGAAATAGACACCGGTGTGTCCTATACCGCAGCCGTCCCCAACCTTTTTGGCGCCAGGGACCGTTTTCATGGAAGACAATTTTTGTCACCGACCAGGGAGGGGTGGATGGCTTCGGGATGATTCGAGTGCATGACATTCGTTGTGCACTTTCTATTTCTATTTTTATTACGTTGTGGTATATGATGAAACAATTACACGACTCGCCCTAGGTTGGGAACTGTTGATGTGCATTATATTTTCTTTTGGACAGTTTGATGTATTGCTTGTTTGTACAAATTTATGGACTGCATGTGAAATTTTGTGGCATGTCTATAATGCATAGGGATCTAGCCAGGGTATTTAGGGGTGTCCATCACCTGAGGATAACACATTTTTGCTAAGCGTGGTCACTCTACTCTCTACCAAACAGTGAATTTTTTTTAAAGGAGTTTTATTATAATCCAACTTTTCTGGGGGGGGTTGCAGCAGGAGGAAGACTTTTAGGTTACATGGTTCATAATATTTCTAGATAGTCCTCATTCTTTCTTTCTTTTCTTCTCCTTCTTCTTCTCCTTCCTTCCTTCTTCTTCTTCCTTCCTCCTTCCTTCCTGTCCTCTCCTTTGAACTGGTTCACTCTTCACTCTGTCACCTGGGCTGGAGTGCAGTGGCATCATCATAGCTCACTGCAGCCTCCAACACCTGAACTCAAGTGATCCTCCTGCCTCAGCCTTCCAGAGTGCTGGGACTACAGGTGTGCACCACCATGCCTGGCCCTGAATTTATTCCCTCCATCTTACTGTATGTTTGTGCCCTTAAACCCACTACTCTTCATTGTCCCCTCCCTTCCCTTCACCCTTTCATGTGAGTCTCTGTTCTCTGTTTCCACTCTAGCTCTGTGAGACCCAGTTTTTTAGCTTATTTTTTAGCTCTTACATGTAGGCGAGAGCATTTGACATCTGTCTTTCTGTGCCTGGCTTATTTCACTTAACCTAACGCCCTCCTGTTCCATCCATGCCACTGTGAATGGCAGCATTTCGTTCTTTTTTATGGCTGAATAGTATTCTACTCTGCATAAAGAGACGTCATTTCATTCTTTTTTATGGCTGAATAGTATTCCACTCTGCGTGGAGGCCACGTGTTCTGTATCTCTGTGGATGGGCACTTATGTGTTCTATGTTGTGTGTCCTGCACCTGGTAAAGCAGGTTTTCTTCTTCCAGACATAAGCATGAGCCGTTCCTCCTGTTCGTGTCCTTGCTGCATGTCCACGTTCCCCTCGTCACCACGAAAGCCTTCCGTGGGAAAAGCCGGCACGGCTTGTACGGCGACAACGTGGAGGAGATGGACTGGCTCGTGGGTAAGTCAAGGCATGACTCGGCGGCCTGTCCTCTCCTCGCCCTGGGCCTCGGCACCGAACGGGTGGTCCTTTTTTTTTTTCATTTTTCATCTTATTTTTTGGAGACAGGGTATCCATGTGTCACCCAGGCTAGATAGAGTACAGTGGCGCCATTACAGCCTCCTGAAGCCTCAAACTCCCAGCCTCAAGCGATCCTCCTGCCTCAGCCTCCCGAGTAGCTGGCGCTACAGTTGTGCTCCACCATGCCTGGCTAATTTTTCTTATTTTTAGTAGAGATGGGATCTCGCTATGTTGTCCAGGCTGGTCTCAAACTCCTGACCTCAAGTAATCCTCCCACCTGGGCCTCCCGGAGTGCTGGGATTACAGGCATCAGCCACCTCACCCCACCCCAATGTAGCAGATTTAAAAGCATGTCCATTGATGACCTATTGGCTTTTTGTGCTTATTCGGGGTTGTTTTTGTATTGGTGGTACCTTGGTCAGCAGCCCTGTGGTCTAACAACAGTGAGCTACGTCCCAACGCTTTGGGATTGCATTTGTAACCGTGGTCTGGTCCCTTTTGGTGACTTCCTAGCAGGAAGTGACTTATACAGAAAAGGGGAAGTGTATCGAGCAAGCGGACGCCGGCCCGTGAACGTGGTCCTGACCCTTTCCATTTTCTTGCGAAGGTGAGATTCTTAACGCCATCGAGGAAAACGGTTTGAAGAACACGACCTTCACGTATTTTACGTCCGACCACGGAGGGCATTTGGAGGCGAGAGATGAAGGTGGCAGGCAGCTGGGGGGATGGAACGGAGTATACAGAGGTGAGACCAGCAGGTGTCGGGGACGGATGTGAGTTTGCCTGAATGAGTCCCGCCCGTGAAGGTCCCAGCACGGATAGAACCGAAAAACAAAAAAAAGAGTTTGCTCAGTTCAGACAGAATCTGTCGAGCACCTGCTGTAGACCTGGCTCTACCTGAACCACCAGGGCAGAGAGATTAAAAAGGCACATCCCCTTCCTTTAAAGCTTTTGCCTTTTAGTAGGAGAGACAGAGATGTACAGATAAATAATTTTTTAGTCAGACACGACTCACCCTCAGCCGACCCCCTCTGCCCCTTCCCACTCAACAGTGACTGCAATACATCCCCCCGGCCCACCATCAGCCTCCCCCTGCTCCTATGTCACCTCCCCAAACACAACAAAAAAACACTCCTGGGCTTCGAGTCACAACTGCCGTGACCCCTATCACACAGGCCTCAGGATCCTCCTCCTAAAACCCACACACCAACGAAAAAAGTAGGATCTGGACTAAACCCGCCCACCTGCCGTACAGCAGAACTACAACCCCACCCAACAAAACTCTATCACCACGAGACCCAGCTATATCGTGGTTTTTGTTTGTTCTTTTTATGTTTGTTTTCCTTGGTAACGAGGTCCTCTGTGCGCCTATGTGTGTCCCCAGGCCGGCTGGAGTCTGCAAGCATCCTGCCCTGCCAGCCTAACCAACCCGGACTCTGGGAGTTACCACAAGCTGGCCCACCACCGGCGCACCGACCTCACACTAATTACAGCCTCAGCCATCCGAGTATGCCTGGGACTAAGGCAATTGCACACACCGACTCTAGAGTTGGGCAACGAGCGATCTGATTTTTTTAAGCCTATGTATAGCTACAGTTGGCCCAATTAGCATTGTCTTTCTACTTGGTATAGTAGAGACGGGGTCTTCACTCTCTGCTCCAGGCCTGGTTGCTCCAAACTCGGCTCTGGCGCGTTTTCGGGGAACAAGCATTCTGCCCACCTTTGAGAGCCTCCACAGAGTGCTAAGGATTACAGGCGTACATAAAGAGCCACCTGAACGCCTGGCCTATAGTCATCATTAATTAGAGTTTTATATTTATGATTTATTGGATGTAGAAGTGGGTACATGTGGAACTCTCTAATCAGTCTTGTTACGATGTGGATTATTCCAACTACACTTAGTCCGACCCACATTCTGGGGGCTTTGTCGATTAAAGAACTGAAGGAGACTTCTTTGGACACTTTTGTAAATCTTGTTCAGAAGATTTAATTTATATAGGAGGATCGAACTTTATTGATGTTCATCTCCAAGGATGTGAGTCTGTTGAACTAAAAGAGCCTCTGAAGAAGGGTTTACGTGACTAGTTTCACAGGCAAGGGGACCCAAGGAAACACCTTAAAACTGAGTTCCTACACCTGACGGCGAGAGAATAGAGCCGCATTATTGGTCCTCTCTGATGGGATAAAGACACCGAGTGGCCATGGGCTCTGGCCGGAAGGAAGTAGGCAATCTTCTCACGAGCTGGACTGTGCACGCCAACCCAGGCAATCGGCCTTGAATAAGAAAAATAAAAGGCCCGGATATACACATTTCTTTTCGATATCAAACAGGTACAACCTTGTTTTAGTCTTCCACAAGTGTTCCTCGTAGTTAAATACATTGTACAATAGAGGAGGTGAACACATCTGCCTTCCTTTTGATTACTACGTTTTATATAAGCTTGGTTGAAATTGGACAGACAATCGAATGCAGTCCTCCTAGATGGGGTTGTTCTCCAAGTGCTTCACGAATATGGTAGTTTCGCTACATTAGGCTGCTTTTGTGAAATCTGTCCTTTGTGTTTGTTTTTGTGGTTGCGGAACGGCTCTGTTTTTTTTTGATATTAAGATTTCTTTTTTTTCGCACGAACAGAGTCTCAACTCTCCATGTTGCGCGTGCCGAAGCTAGATGCCAAGTTTCAAGACGCAGACCGAGCCAATACTCGCTCAGATCATGCCCTCATAGGGGATCTGTTGCGGCTCTTAGACAGCGGACTGCCCTTCTGTTGCAGGGCTGCCTGCAGACCTTCCAAAAAGTAGAGGCTGGGACTAAACGAGGACATGCTGCCACCCTGGCCCACAAATCTTTAGCATCTTAATCGGTCGGTAAGAGCTGTCTGTGCCTTCCCATCCTGGGACATCGAGTTGCCTGGAAATGCCGCGTTTCCGTGCCTCAATTTCCTACCTCTGTTCATCATAGTATTTTGCATTTCTGTCTTCTCGCTCCATAACCAGATTACATTTTGGTCTGTCATAGATTTTGCCTTAGTAGGTGCCAGACTGGCGGTTCTCTACTTTGCTTTGCTCGACGTGGGACCAACTGGTTGTCACACGGAAACTTCCCAGTCGACCTTGACAGCGCGGCTCGCGTCCGCGGCGAAATGTTCAACCCAATAGCTCCCTGGGCCCCTTCTATATATGTATGTCAAATAGCGAGCATCGTAGAGCCAGTGAGCCACAGGCCAGCGCCCGTAGTCCTGCTATTTCTGGATCCTGTTGCATTCCTTTTCCTTTTTTTTTTCTTTTTTCTCCTTTTTTGAGACAGGGGCTGAGCTCGATGATCGCCCGAGGCTGCGGGCAAAGTTGTGATCCCAGCTCCATGGTAACCTGAGCGTCCTGGCACAGGCAACCCTCCGACCTTGGCCCCCAGGGTGCTGGCATTATTACGGGAGCATAAATCACCCACACTTCGGCTAGGGAAACCAGGATCACTGCCGGATCGTCGACCTATAAATTTATGACTCCACGCCTCCCGTTGATAAGTGCGGTTAGACTGTGCTGTGCCTGCTAAAAAGAGTACCAAAAAAAGAGAGGGGCCACCATGCTCTCACATACCATATCAATAGGGTATCCAACCCCTGTAGGACATTACAATTAGCCCAGTGAAGAGACGACATTTTCGGGCGCTCTTACCGAGTGACCTGAACAGCCTACAATAAAAGACTGTCAATTCCAATCCAATCCAGTGAGCTCGAAGTACTATTCTACCACTTAATTTAGATCTTGCTTCCATTCACATCAACTCTTTAGGAATAATGGCTACACAGTTTTAAGTGTACCAGTCTTAAAGCAACTAGGTTTTTGTGGATACTTATTACTTTTTGACACAGGATAAACTGGTGGGATAGTTGGGAGCGTAGGTTGTTAATTTGGTGCCATTCTGTGAATAAAGTTATCTCCAACTTTCAGTTGGCTTGCGATGGTCTCAAACTGCTAAAGCAATTGATACGCCAAACTTGCAGGTTAGGGTTAACAAAAGTTTTTCGTTATCCACTCATTACCCGGTCCATTTGTCATACCCGGCGTGTTAGGTGGTATGCAGGTTGGGTTCATCAATCCATTCGGGGAGGCTTGCTGGAATCAGCTTGTTTTCGTGATACTGCCCTGTCTGCGCGCCCGGACTCTCCGAACGCCGATCACGCACGCTCTAGCGACTAGCAGTCTTTCCCTCCCCACTCGCTCCCGCGCTGACTTGCGCCTCTACACGTCCAATTTCCTCCGCAGAAGTGGCATGTTTCGGCTCCGTGTGGCTGTCAGACCAAGGGGAAATCCCAGGTACCCCTTGGGAAAGTACCAGGAAAATAACGGGGAGGAAGAAGGTGTAGGGAAATGATCCGCACCAGCTTTAAAGTTCTGACGCCCTGTGTCGCACCCTAAAGGCCTCGCCACACGCGTGGGGGTGCGTCCCGGCTTCTAATTACCACGTACCCCATACCTGGAGAACTCGACCTCAACAGGTGGGCCTCCATCAGGGCGCTCTTGCGCGCACTGACCCACAAGGGCGCTGCCGGGCACGCCGCAGAGGTCCTGCCGGGAACAGCAAAGGCTTTGGACGCTGATCTGCATCCCCGCGTGCGCCGACTGCACACCACGCGAGTATCGCGCTTGCTCCACAAGGGGAAGACGCTCAGCCTCACACACATAACCACTCAAATTTCAGGCTTAGGACTGAACTCTCGTGACAGCCGCTCGGCGTTCTGGGGTCGCGAGGAAATGCCAACAGACACCAGGTGATTCGTGATGCACGCGTCCTGGATTCTGTTTTTTTTTTTTTGTTTTACACACGAGGTCTCACTCTGTTGCCCGGGCTAGAGTGCCGTGGTGTCAGCCCTCACTCACAGCCAACTTCAAACTCCTGGCTCAAGGGATCTCCTGCCCTCAGCCTCCCGAGTAGCTGGGACTACAGGTCTATTGCCCCTATGCAAACGGCTGATTTTTTTCTATATATATTAGTTGGCCAATCTATAGCTGATTCTTTCAGATTATTACCGTAGAACTGCAAGATCTCCGCTCTTGCTCAGGCGTCTCAAACTCCTGACCGATCGGACAAGCAATCGCCCTGTCCCGCACCCTTCAGCCTCGGGCGAGAGTGTAGGAAATATTAAAAGGTGTCTTGACTTAGAATTAAACCGCAGAAATTGTAAATGACTTTTAGGCCGCCGCCGTGATAGGTTGGCTCCACGCCTGTAATCCTAGGACTCAGGCTGGGAGGCCGAGGCAGGAGGATCCACTCAAGGATTAGCACCTTGGAAACCAGCCTGAGCAAAGAGCGACCCACAACTACCTCGTGCTCATTACCAACCCAGGAATAGAGAGAAATTAACTTGGCAACTAAAAAATATGAATCAGAGAAAAATTAGTCCGGGCATCGGCTGCGCAGCAGTGCCTGTAGTCCCAGCTATATTCGGGAGAAGGCTGGTGAGGCAGCAAGGATCAGAACTTGAGCCCAGGAGTTTGAGGTCGCTGTGAGCTATAATGAACAGAAACTGGCACTCTAGCCTGGGGTACAGAGCAAGACTCTGTCCTGAAAAAAAAAAATGTATAGCTGATAATTTGAAGGCATTTAATTTTTTACCTCGTATCCGAAGTTATAATCTTTTAATAGACCCAGTTTACTTTACCAAAGATTAATGACATTCCCATGAGTTCAAAAGCATTTTGAGTTTATTTAATTTGTGAGTGTCCCTCATTTACAAGCCAGTCTGGGGTACCAGCAAAGAATCAGACACCTCAACATAGTAGATATGAAATCCAGCAACCAACCAACAGCGAACCAACCGTAATTACAACACCAATTGAGGCCCTGAAGGATTACGCACGTACAAAGTCGATCCATAACAGCCTCCCTGGGGCTTTATTCTGGCGACGTCTAGCCAGGAGATAGGGAGGTACAACTACGGTGATAACCTTCACCAGCGCTGAAGACTGCTGGTTTGCAAACACAACGAGACACAGAGGAACCTGGTATGCTTTTCACGGACATTGCCCTGCCACAGTGGGAGACATCATCGTACATGCCCGGCGGTTGGAATCAGACGTCGGGTAAACAGTTTCCCCATGGCAGTTTGATTTTTTTTTTTTAGCAAAACCCCTCCTTTCTCTTTTTTTTTTCCCTGTCAGTTTAAAACCAGTGAGTTTTCAAATGCCTTGCGATTTAGCCAGAAAGGCGTGCAAAAGTTTTCCAAGTATGGCTTGCATCAGTAATTCGCAAATCTTATCGCTAGAGCCTATTTCCCAACAGTCAGCAGAAAGAGTCAGCAAGAGTTCAGGAGCAGGCAGAAACCATCACGTTACACGGAGAGGAGGCGTTCTTTGATGTATACCCAACTCGTATGACAATTGGTGGCCCGAGGTCGACCCACCGGAGCTCTGAAGCTTCAGTCCTTCTGATGGAATTCTGCCCTGTCTGAGGTACTGAAAATGGTGTGCAAAACCCTCCAGAGAGGCCACCTAACTGCCCGTGGAGCCCTAGAGGAGTCCGGCGCCTCAACCTTCGCACTCACGCACAAACTCAGCAATACATCCAGTTTCAGATGCTATAACCACCATGCAAGCTGAAGCGGAAGGACGGGCTGGTCTCCTGTCGTTTTCATCCAACACGTGATTTTTTACATTTGTTATTTAGTTTTTTTAGTTTCTTTATTCGTCAATTGCTTATTTTATTTTATTTATCTCTTCTCTAGTGAATTTTTATTATTTTGCACAGAGTCAGTTCATTTCACTCTGCCCGGGTAGGAGTGCTGTGGGGGAGTCAGCCAAGCAAATCTACAAAGCTAAAGTTCTTGGGACATTTCGTCTCGCTTTCTTGACATGATTCCTGAGGATTCGAGGAATACTTTTTAAACTTCTTTGCCCCCCTAAAACCCCGTGGGCAAATTGCCTCATCTTTCTTGCGCACTCCAGAGGTCCCCTCTCCCGGGTCTTCCTCGGTGAGCTCCGCCACCTCCTCTCGCGACCCGGCGTGCCGAAAAGCGGGCCATGGGTCGCTCTCGCCCGCGCTCGTCCTCTCCTCTCGTCTTCACACCACCACACGGCCGGCACACATCTCCGCACAAATTAATGAACACCAACACCAGTGAGCCACAAATTAGAATCTGAGGGATGTAGTCTCAACTCCTTCAGAACTGTTTACGTTCACACCAAACAAGGTCGTGGCCCACACGCAGGTAGGTGGAAGGGTGCGTAGCATTTATACTTCTGAAAGTACCACGGAGCACCAAAACCCACACGCAGCCACTTGGGCCACGCCCGTGGCTCCAACCTGCATTGTCAATTCAGTGGAACTACCTCCACGCCTTCAGGATGCAAACCTGGTTCCCTTCCACAAACCCCTTGAACGGAGCCTGCTGAGAAATACCAGCATCACTCCCTATTCGCCAGCACCTGACGCAGCAGCACACTAGAAAGTGGCTCTAAATGCAAGTGGCATGCACGACATCAACACAGGTCACGTCCGTACTGTCAAGCAACCCCAGTCACTCTGGCAGGCCTGGTCTGCAGTCTGTAGCTCGCACAACGCGCCCTCCGGGTTCTCCCGCGTGCCGCCCTGTGTTCAGGACCACCCCTCAACTCTCTGCTGTTGCCCTCCTCCTAACCACTCATGCTCAGGGAGGAGTAGGCCCACTCACTACCCCTGCAGAATACCTTCCCTACCGCCTTTGGACCCCCCCTGCCTCTGAGTTTGCATTTTTCTCTCTGCTGTTAAGCGGTCCAGGGAGAAAGCTTTGGCGGTGTGGGCCAGGAGGGGGGAATCTTCAGTTGCATTAGCGCGGCCACTTTCCCCAGCTTAGCGCAGCTACAAAACGCCGACCTCAGCAGAAGGGGGCAGGCAGGCCTCCCAAGGGGGCGCAGTTTGAGCCAGGCAAGAGGCAGCACAGGCCAGGACCGAGACTCGCAGGGATCAGAGCAGACGGTCTACAAACTCCACAGCTCGCCGAGGAGCGACGACCACATCGGGCCCTGCAATGCTGGTCCCCGCCGCCCAAACACGGTGCCGGCGGGGCGAAGAATTTAGGCCCGTGGGCGGGTGCCGTCAGGGGGGCTTCTGCTGCAGGCAAGCGAACCTCGGACAAGGTCTCAGCCTCGACTTCATAGCAGGCAGAACGGCACGCAGTCCCTGGCCTGGGGGGCGAGCACCGTCTGTCGAGCCAGTCCGCGGCCGTGGCCACCCTGCGTGTCGACTCACCCCCGAGGCTGGCTGGCAGAAGCAGGCTCAGCGCCCGCAGAGGACGCGTCTGGTGTGCTGCAACTTAGCAATGCTCTGTGTCATTCTCCCTCTTCCTCTCTCCTTCCTTTCCGCCTTCTCTCTCCTCTCTCCTCTTCTCTCTCTTCACTCAAGGAGTATGCTTTGTCTGACTCTGAGCTTAGGTAGCGACGTCTAACACTCGGCAGCTGGTCCGCAGCCTGGCCGGATGGTCTTGCAGTGGGGCTGTGCCCGTGGTGTGGCGTGTCAGAGCAGGCGTCCCTGGGCGTCCTCCACCAACACGGGGACCGCGAGCCAGCCTCCCCGGCCGGACCCGCGCGACCGGCGCGTGCGGACGCCGGGGCACCCGGACGCCAGCGGCACCCTCCCCACGCAGCCTGCCAAACCACCAATAACGTCTCCACACATTGCCAAATGTTCCAAAGGTGCCGCTCCAGTTGGAGGAGCACTTGCAACCATAAAAAGGATTTCCCTAAAGCAGGGGTCCTCAGAAACTACGGCCCGCGGGCCAATCGCCGCCGAGGAACATATTCCGGCCCGCTGGGCCGTTTTTCGCCGCGCTGCGCCTGTCCTGCCTTAGCACTGCTCGTCCGGGCCCCTACAGTGCGGCGCTCCGCCAACGGTCTGAGGGAGCGGTGGAACCTGGCCCGTTTAAAAAGTTGAGGACTGTTGCAAGCGTTTTTCCGAAAAATAGACTGTCTTGCGCTGCTATTCCATTTGTTGCTGTTAGTATTTCCTTCTGACCCGACACCAGCGCCCTCTTCCGGGTTGCTAAGGAAGGGCTGCTTGTCGGGATAGGGAGGAGTCATGCGACTTTGGGTTCCTACTTGCAAGAGAATTCTGACCTGCTTTCTTGCCGGCTGCTGAGGTTTAGGGCCTCCCTCCTCCCTCCTCCTCCTCTTGCTCCCGCAATCATGATGACTGATAAAAAGCGCGCAGGTGCGCGATGGGAGATTCAGACCGCACAAAAAATCTCCTGTACGAGAACTAACTCATCCCCACCGCCCCACACTCAACAAAAAAAAAAATAAAACTTTCTTCCTATACCCATCTTCAGACTAGCGTGGGAGGACTCTCCCTGTTCTCCTCCAGCGATAGATGACTAAGAGATAGTAATGTTTTCCCCCTGAAAAAAAATTAAAGAAAAACCGTGTCCGAAAACAAGCCCTACACGTGATGCTAGCATGTGCAAATAGAGCCGCCACCGCCAGAAAAAGGACCTAGTGATGGCGTGGCTGCACAGCGCGTCCTGGCAACACCCGTGCGTCGTGTCCGCGGAGCGGGAAGAACACGAAGGGCAGTCCTTTCTCATCCGCCGTGAGAGCTCTAGTGGTCCACAGGAAGATCGGGGCGTGGCTCTAAAGGAAACCAGAGTCGGCAAGACATTCACGGATGGGAATTGGTCTGAGAAGTGAGGATGCAATGTTCGCAGAAGACAACAGACTTCACTGTTATTGCTGGAATAAATGCAGATTAGTTGTACAATACTGTAAAAAAAAAAAAATAGCACACTGGCGCTGAAATAAGCCGCTGGGGTGTCTCTTGAGGAAAATAATAAACACCTGTCTTGTTTCGGGAAACGAGGCCGTAGATTTATGGCAGTCATGATGATCCTGTCCCTGTGCTTGTCGTGTTGTGTGCGTGCTGTGGTGAACATCCACGCATCGCCTAAGCCATCCCGAACAGCAGACTCTGTCAGCAGGGTCCCGTGCCTCATACAAGTACCGAGAAT